ACATTGACTTATTTCTACAGCTTTCAAACATTTAAACTCTGCAGACCAAAGCAATGTTGGTAATTTTGTCACAGCAGACCCCTGTGTAGGCAATGTATAACATCTCTCCTTCACCTCTTTATACAGCCATCTTCCAAAATGGATGACAAAGTGCTGCTTAAGATGTGTTTTTATTGCATTGTGTTGTAAGGGAAATAAGAATCTAATGCATTGGGTTTTATCAGGAAAAAATGCTAAGACAAACTGTATACCCTGGGTATTTTTGGAAATACTTCATTATAGACTTGGAATTTAAGCTATGATGATACTGATGATATATTTGGAAATAAGAGCTCATTACATCTGTTTTCACCACAGGAGCAGAGACCACATCCTGGTGAAATGTCATATGACTAATTTAATTTTTACAAGTGACTACTTAATTGCAATTTCTAAATAGTTTTCCATGATGGTGTGCAATGCAATAGCTGTTTCTTGGTTAAGCTTGTGGGCCACGTGCATTGTTTCTGGGTTATGCTTATGTTAATTCGGGACTAGGGGATGGGTAAGACAGAGGGGATGCTTATCTGTGAAGTGGAAAAGGATATTTATTCTCTGATTATTTTTTCTGATTAAGACATAATTTCCAAGTTCCTATCAAAAATAAGAAGTTTGAGCAACTGCAAAGCAGGGAGCAGTTACTAGCAAGATAAGCCTAGATTTCCAGTTATGTTCCAATTCTGTTTTTTGGGGTCTACCTGATTCTCATGGGGAAGTGGAAGAGGAGACAGACTATTTTTGTGCAGGAGTGACAGTGTAGTAGCTAAATTTTGTCTTTTGGGGGACTTTGAGCTTTCCCTCGGTGATTTTACTTTTGTGTGTCTAACAGCTCTATGTGATTCAGGTAATAAAACTTAATAGGATTTGCTTATACATCATATTGTCCCTATTTATATGGCACAGAATATACAATTGTATTAATATGTAAGTTCAAAGGGATAAAGAAACAACTATTCATAAATACATTTGCTGTTACTGAAACCAGTCAGAATTTTGCCTGAAGATTAATGTTTAATTTTTTTAAAAATAGATTTTCTCATGAAAGAGTTAGTCTTCTTAGATCCTGGTCACTCAGTAGAAATTCAGATTCCAAAATTTCTGAAGTGTGTTTTCTGATGACTACCAAAGTCAGTCTTAGAAATGTACTGAGATTTAGCCAAAAGGCTTCTTTGCTGGGTAGTTTCCTAGTTTTTATAGGCAATTATTAGGTTTTTTTTTTTAGTTAAGAGTTCAGGGAGGAAATGGTATTTCAGTGTTAGAACCTGCAGAGATTGTGTTTTCTGGGGAATGAGGGAGTAGGTTTTGGTTTTCCTCTTAACAAGATTAAGAAAGAAATTCACTGAGAGAGATCAGAAATTGTTCCCTAATCATTCTGCTCAAGAAGCAAGGGTTTACAGAAAGCTTCCCCCCAATATCACAAGGTTTGTAGTAATATGAGTCTATTTGGCAGGACTTCTTGACCATTAGGATCTGACTGATGTATACTATTGTATACTTACTTTTCCACCATTTCGTCTTTTAAATTAAATGCAGAAAAGATTATTAGTCACACGTAACAGTGGCAAACTTAGGGGGAAGTGTCCCATTGAGCTAAACTGACCTAAATGGCTAATTGCTGCTGAAAAGTGATCCAGAAATCTTCCATCTCTTGTAGCATCGGCTCAGTCTTGTTAACCTCACTTGTCGTCAGCTGTTAATAAAACCCGTGAAGTCTCTTTCATGTAGCTGTTGTTTTTCCACCAAAATTTAGTGTTTACATAGGTTACTTGGCAGAGGATGGCACTGCAACCTGGGAAGTGCGTCAGGCCGAAATGTTTTCCTTTTTTTTTTGTTTCTTCCCCATCTAATGAAAAGTAGGGTTGAAAAATAGAAAAATGATACTTCAGAGACTGTCATTGCCAAAAAAGTTAAGTAATTTTGCATCACGGATTAGTATTAGGTTGCACTCTGTCTTTTAAAATTTTTTTTCTCTCTTGTCTAGCATTTTAGTGTGATGTCCACAGCACAGAGGAATATTTTGTTTCTCATATTTAACACTGTATCTTAATACTGTGGGCTTTTTCTTGCATGCTTAGAGTGTATGTGTGCTTTTTAACATAGCTTCACCCTCTTCCTTTGATGGGAAAGCAAATTCAGGATGAAGGAAGTTAGTAATCCTTTGAGCATTCCAAAATCTCTGTGTGAGGTTAATGAGTAGGGAGACAGTGGGAATACGGGGAAGGGCTAGCAGGGATCTGCCAGGGGAGGCTGGTCCTCTCCAGTAGCAGCCAAAAGGCTTCTTTGCTGGATAGTTTCCTAGCTTTTATAGTCAATTATTAGCAAGTCTTGTTGGTTTAGGGTTTTTTTATGCCTTGCTCTGTGAGTTAGCTATCAGTTAGGAGGAGCTCTCTTCAACAGAAGCGTTGAGGTATTTCATTGTTCCTAAAAGTAGCACAGTTATTTTTGAGGACTGATTTTATAAGAGAAGTGCTTAATTTTACTGTCATTCTGGTTTTTTTATTATGTGTTTGTGCTGGTCTGCCAACTAAAATAAATGTCTGTGGGTGTTTATTGATTGCTGTAAAATACTTCCTACACAGCAAACTGGAAGAAGGACAGTAAGTTGTTTAGATTGAGAGGCCCCATGACCTGCTCAATGGTGTTTAGTTCTCCTCTGACTTCCCCGTGAATTCCCCACTGCAAGCCTTTGTGTGCCAGAAGCAACAATGAGTGTAGGTTTCAGCACGTGGTGCTTATCCTGGGGACAGTCCCTGAGGTTGGCAGGGTGACAGCAAGGTGATGGCCAGCAGGGCAGCAAGCTGTGCTGAAGCACTGTGAGAACTGCAGGTGGCTGTGGAGGAGCCACAGGTAAAGTGGTGGCAGCTCAGTGACATCTTCAGTGATACCTGTCCCCCCCAGAAGGACTTGAAAGTTGACCTTCCTACCCAGCAAGTGGTGATCTTTGCTCGTCTTCTGCAGCCTAAAATGTAGTAGTACTTACATCTTTACTCAAATGGTGGACAGCCTGGGGTGGCCACCAGCTGAAGGGTGCCGGTGGGAAGTGTGGAAGCTTGTCTATTAATTGTGTAAGATTTCAGTACCCTGTATCTTAGATGCCTCTTGGAATTCAAGGAGGAAACAGTGTGAGTTTGTTTAGCTGCAGTGTACATAGTAACTGATGGTGATCTCAGGCAACCACCCACTACTGGGAGGGGTGAGGCCAGGAGATGCCTTTCTTTTAGGTCAGTCTTGCTTTCTTTCTTTTTTTTTTTTTTTTTTTTTTTCCCCTCTACTCTGTTCTTACAGAGTCATAATAAAGTCCTTAAAAGGTCTGTGTGGGATCTGCGGGCAGCGAAGCTGGTGAGGGGTCTGGAGAACAAGTCTTATGAGGAGAGGCTGAGGGAACTGGGGTTGTTCAGCCTGGAGAAAAGGAGGCTGAGGGGAGACCTTCTTGCTCTCTACAGCTCCCTGAAAGGAGGGTGTAGTGTGGTGGTGGGGGTCTCATCTCCTAAGTAACAGGCAACCAGACAAGAGGAAATGGCATTGAGTTGCGCCAGGGAGGTTTAGATTGGATATTAGGAAAGATTTTTACACGGAAAGGGTTATTAAGCATTGGAACAGGCAGCCCAGGGAAGTGGTGGAGGCACCATCCCTGGTGGAGGTATTTAAAAAATGGGTAGACATCATGCTTAGTGATGTGGTTTAGTGATGGTTTTGTCAGTGTCAGGTTGACCGTTGGGCTAGATGATCTGAAAGGTCCCTTTCAACTTAAACAATTCTATGATTTTATGATGGACATTTGGGTCTATAGCTCTTATGGACATAATAAGGGCCAGAATGGTCTCTAACCTAACGGTCACTAAGAACGTCTCTGTGAAGGTAAACTGTGAAAAAGCCAAACCAGGCTTTCCCCCGTCTCCTAGAGCACATGCCAGGACAGCTAAAGCAGGTTCTTCTGTGTTGCGAGAAAAACATGTTTGCCACGGACATCTGGAAAGTGACTACTTTGAGGTCTCCTCCTTCCTTCTTGAGATGTTGCACAACTGGAGATGTAGGTTTTACCATATTGGGCAAAGCCGTGGTTTGTTTTGTTTTGAGCCTCTGAGGTGCGAGCTCTGGGTGGACTGGTCACTGTTTTGGCATCCCCGGCAGTGGAATGTGTGTGCGGACGACCATCAGATGGCTCAGGAAGAGGAGAATTTAGTGACATCCTTATCCACATTCCATGGCATGCCTTTCATCTCCCCATCTGCACCACTGTGCTGCGGGAAAGAGAGGGCAATTAATGTTCCACCATTCGTAGGGACAAAGCTCGGGGGGCTCTGGCCGCTTCCATCCTTTGTGTGTGCTGTGAATTCCTCAAGTTTGGGTACAGGAGGTACCTGCACAGCCACAATGAAGCAGATGCTACAGTTAAGGAATGTTTCAGCGCTTTGGTACTCAAGCTGAGGATGTGGGGTTTTTTTTCCTCTACAGGATATTCAAGAATTCTCATTTATGTTGTGTGGCCTGTCCATGCTAATTACAGAAGGTATACATTAGATTGTCAGGAGTCATTGAGGACTCAGCAGCACTAGGTTGATGTATATCACCTAAAGAAAGAATCTAAGATTTATTTTTTTTCCTGCTTCTTGGAGAAAGGTGGGGAGAGATGTTTGATCAAACTTGGAAAAATCCCTTGGATGATAGCAGTAAGTCTAGCTAGCAGATGGCAGTATTCACGTGAAACCTGTTAATTTGGTGTTTTACCATTTTCTTTGCCTAAAAGAGGTTGCTTGACTCGTAAGCATCTGCTTAAAAACAATTACAGTTTTATGGAGTGGTATTTATTAAATGTAGGGGACTCATTCATTTGTTTCTCAAGAGCAATGATGCTTCATCATGTGTGTCCTGAAGTGTTGTGTGCAGCGTGTCTGGTTCCTTTATATCGCATTTAAAGAATGATATCTCGATCAAACTGTATGTGTGTAGGTCTGTGCTACGCTGATAACTGACCTAATTCTACAGATAAAACTTAAGATCTTGAAAGTGGTTATTTTGATAATTGTGGGTATTAAAAGTTGGATACATTAGAGTTCCTTATTTAAAGTTCAAACAGGTTACACAGGTGTTTTCTTTAAAATCAGCTTTTATTTGTTCTAAAAATATAAATAAGTCATAAATACCATCACAAATATTTTAAATGCATAAGTTATACAAAAACTTTTCTGGCTTCTGAAAATATTTTTAAATACATATTAAATAAGTTGATGTTCTGAATAGTACCGTTAAAAATGAAATAAAATAGGTCCTTTGTTTAAATTATTTCTAAATATCGAAAATATAAATAGGAAAAACATTCTAAACGAATAAATATTTTAAATACAATAAATAGGTTCCTGCAAGGAAATGAGAATATACATAAATGCAAACCATTGTTACTCTTTCTGGTTCTTAAAACAGAACAACACTGTCATCTGCCACATGACAGATTTGTAACAAAGGATTGTGCCTGAATTAAAACATTCAGGCACTGAAACTCCTGGTGTTTTTCAAGTAGCGAACGGCCCTCACGGTTTTCTCCATAAACGAAGTAAAGTCTCGGAGGATGAGGTGGATGGTGATTTTCTCTATCCAGGTCTTATCGGACTTCAGCTTTGCGCGGAGGGATTCCTGGGTAGCTGAGTCTGGGATGATCACTTCATCGGGGTTTATCACCTGTGAGAGAGACAATTTTGAGTTCCCCAGTTAAAACATTGTCACGGAGCTTGTTGGAGAGCATCGGTTTATATGGTGAATATGTTCCTGACCAGCTGTGTATCCACCCTTTCTGTACCTCCCTGGGACCTGGACCTCCCTAAAGCCCCCCACAGCTTCTGTGGTGGGGTTGGAGGTACCTCAGCACCTGCTACAATGAGGAAGCATCAGATGGTCTCATCTGATGTACACCATTTGTTCTCCTTTGAACGCAACATCTGGTGCCATGGTCCAACGTGCTGCACTGAACAGGATCCGTACATCCCTCCTGCTGCCTCATGACCGTGGGTTACTTGGGAAGGTGCTGAGCATGGTTCGTCCTGACCTGCACTGGCTGCTACATCCTGAGTCATAAGTTAATTTGGTGACTTTGTATTTTGTAGATTAACAGTTTTGTAAAGACGTCAAACTTGTTTAGCTGCTTAATTCTTACTTTCCAGGCATTTAGGCACGTGGGAGACCGAGTGTCAACCACTTTCACTGATGTGTGGGATTGTAACTGTGAGATGAGTAAAAGGAGCTGCATACCTATTGCTGACTGACAGGGCCAGGCACCTGGTACCCAAATGCCTTCTAAGAACTTGTCCTGTGAAATGGGTAGGTGACTTCTGAAAATGGGGCTCACCCAAATCATGGACCTGTTTTAGATGATTTGGGGTCTAGAAGCCAAATAATACCTACTTCATCCTATTCCGTTCTCTTTATCTTACTCCATTCTATGATCCTGGTTTTAGGATCTGCTCTTTAATAAGAGACAAGAGTATGTGCACCTCCTTTTGGATCATCTTTCTTTGTTGAAACTCAGTAAGATAAAAATATTCTTTCTGCCCAGACTATTTGGAAGTGGATCATGATCGCACACCCAGTTACTGCTATATCCAGCTCCTTGTTGTGTGCTGTAAAAGTTTGTATCTGGATACCCAGACAGGTATCGTGCTGATGGATCTACCTCGCCACAAGTACCAGCTTCTCTCTTTGCTCTGTTTGCCTTAAAAAGCAGATTTAAGATGACTTCTCTCATAAAGAAAAATTTCCACCCTGGAGATCAAGACCCCTCTGTAGTTTCTATAAGCACAGATTTTGCTTTTGACCATTGTGTTTAATTCTGCCAGTTCCAATTATCTCAGTCTAATTTTCAAAAAGGAAAAAAAAAAAAGACAGGCTTCCCCATTTATGAAACGAACTTTCTACAAACTAATATATCAAGTTGGGAGCCAGTATTCAGTTGCTGTCTTCTGATGGGACTATTCTTCTTAGCTAGTACAGTGTGGAAAAAGAAAAAGCCAAACAAAAAAGGCAGTTCAGCTCCCTTTCACTTAAAGAATGATAGACATAAATAAATGTGTTAGAAAAGGTATGGTGAACACACAATGGGCTTTTCAAATGCCAAAAAACACCTTGAAGGAAATAAATGGCTCGAGATTTCTGCAGTCCTTACTCACCTGGGTGGTTCTTACTCTAGGCAGATAGTTTCCCTGATGACAAAGTATTCATGCTAAGGGTTATTAAGATGAGTAAGAACTGCAGGAATGAAGTGAATTTTTGAAGTGGGATCTCTGAAAGCTCTCCAAAACATAGGAAATGACTGTCAGAAATGAATAGCATTTCGTTTACCAAATCAGAAGAGAATGGCATGTTTGTAAGGAAGGAAGATTATTATTTTTTTCATCATGATTGCAAGCTAAAAGTGTGCTTGTCAATAGGCAGCACCTTTTATTTAGTCAAAATACAAGCTTACATTCTGAATTTAACTGCCTGCCTTGATTTTTAAGCTACTGCTATCTCAATATACCATACAGCTTGGCTTAAAAGTTTGTTTTGGAGAGTTTTAAAGATTAATAGTATTGTAAAAATGCATTTGCTTATATTTGTGGGTTTGGTTTTTGGTTTTTTTTAAGGAAAAGTTACTTATTTCTACTTCTTGGGGAGTTGCAATGTTAGAAGGCTTGGACTGAACTGCAGTTCTGCAACTGAGAACAAACTTGCTGAGAAACCTTATTTCTATCGGCCAGGGAGCATTAGTACGTTTGCTCTTAATGTGATGCATTTAATTGTTGGTCTTGGAAATTAGAAATAAGCATGGAAAGCAGGAAGAAGAGTTGTTTTTTAAGAAGAGAAATCAAAACCTTGTAAAACCTGTAAGTTAGTCATAAGGGGAAGTATCTGAGCGTTAAGGAGCCATCACCTGCTTCCGCTGAGAGAAATGAAAGTGGGAAATGTTTGGCTTCACATGGCATCCCATTTCTCTGACTACACACCCTTGCTGAGCCGTAACAATTAGCGGAGAGAAGTTAAAACCAACTCACCATCTCCTTCAGGGTGCGTGCCAGGTGCTCTGTGCCATAGCACAGCGATTCCACGTTTTGCTTTTCACTAGTGAAAGTGTCCTGTACGTATTCAAGGTATGTCTGAAAGGCGTAGAGCCCGCTGGAGATTTTCTTCAGGCATTTATCCTGAAATGAGAGGAAGGTGAAAAAATCACTTAGGGTTTAAAAATGCCTCGATTGTACAGCGCAGGTAAGCGGGTGGTGCTCGTATTGAGTGTGGAATTCTTTAGGTCACAAATCTTTGGGTCAGCTTCTGCAGTTTTTTTTTGGGCAGGTAAAAAAGCATTGCCCCAGGGTTAGAGCAGAAAGGAGAGCGGTTCCTTGCCTCATGGAAGCCGGTGAGCAGACACCCGTCTTCTTCTGTCACCTTGGGGAGGTTGAGGTGGTTCTGGGCGAGCATTTCCATGCTGTTCTCGCAGACGGTGAACTTCTCGCACATCTGGGGAGAGGCACCGAGAGGTTTTATCGCGCTTTGCCTTCGGGCAGCCTCCCTCGGGGCGCTTCTGAGTGAGCGTACGACCCCTTCCCACCCATCCCATCACCCCGTAACCCACCTCCTCCTTCAGCTGGGTGGCCCGGGCGTGCAGCAGCCGGGCCAGCCGCAGGCTGTCGGGCAGCGCCGCCCGCCGCCCCGTCGATTCTTCCAACTCGGCCTCCCCGGAGGAATCGGCGGCGGCGGCGGAGGGCAGCGGGGCGGCGGCGGCCCCGGGCAGCAGCAGGAGAAGGAGCAGCAGCGGCGGCAGCAGCAGCAGCATCAGGGCGGGGGAGCGGCGGCGGGCGGTTGGGTCGGAGTCGCAGCTTCGGGGAAACTTCATGGTGCGGTGGTTTTTCGGCTCCTGCTGCTGCTGCCCGGGTCCTTTCTCGTCGGGGAGGCTGGCGGGTTGAATGAGCTCCGGGCATCCCTGAACGTGTATTTATCGAGGGGGCTTCGAGATTATTCATGGCCCGGGAAAATCCGGCATGAGAACACGGGGGTGTGTGCGAGGCGCTGGGCGCAGGGCTTGACACAGCGCTCGCCCCGTCCGAGCCCGGCAGGATTGTGAAACGCGGCTGTGGGGGGGGGGGACGGGGGGCGGGGGGGGGGGCGA